AGGATGCTGTCGCTAGACATCTTCCAACCCCAATCCATTGCATTAATTGAATTTCCGAACCATGAGTGAAGATGGTGATACACAGGTGAAATGTGCTGCTTTGAAGCTCCTTCCATCGGTGGTAATTTTTCCAATTTGAATGTAGATTTGATCGATGCTGTTTGGTACAGATCAAATCTTAATTCGTTCAACGACATACTTTTTTTTTTGCTGTACATTGCTGCAATCAATTTGCGCATATATATATATATATATCGAATTTTATGGATTTGGCTAATAACTATAAAACCTTGATAATTAATTCAAAGCATCCTAAATATTCTATAATGAAAATTTTTCAACTGTATTTTAGTTTAAAAACCGTTTAATTACATAATATGAAACAAATCACGAAAAAAAGCACAATTTTTCAGTTTTTTGCATTTTAAACGATTTTGTTTGCTTAAAGTAGTGTATTTCTATTTTTTCATCTGAAAGTTGATGTGATTACGGAAAAAATGAGCGGTGTAAAAGTTGTCTAGGCCAACAAAAAAAACCTTTTTGACCGACTTGAAAAAAATGCTTTTTTTTCCAAAAACGCGAATTTCTCAGAAACTAATCAACTTATCGCAAAAAAAAAAATGCTACTTATTCGTGATAAAAAATGATACAATTGCTCAAATTTTCATAGTGATATGCTTTTTTTTCGTGAAATGAAAAATAAAAAACGAAAAAAGTGGTTTTTCGCGTTTTACTCGAAAATTTTGAGGTTATGTGAAAAAAGTACGAATACAAAAGTTATAGATTTTTTGTTATTTACAACTTTCCTTCTCAACTTTTTTCTCTAAAACAATTATTTTGTCTGCAAACCGCGAAAAAACTTGTTTCACCCCTTTTCACCTCCGCCCCTGCAAACATTCAGCTGTTGAATTTTTGCTCTAATATTACTGACTACCTTTCCAACCCATTTCCGTTGAGTTTGCCCTGTAAGGAATTTTTTCCTCAAAAAAATATAGTACGCCTGGCCTATATTGAAATTATAACTTTTTTATACTGTTCCTCTTCAAAACCAACTGTCATGTTTTATGGAATTTCAGAAGTTGAAATAATTATAGCTATTATGTAGAGTACCAATCAAATCAAATGAGAAATGAAATCCAGAATTTTGTAATTTTTGAGACATCGAACAAGTGGTTGCTGGAAAAGGCTTGTCCTCGATAACAAGCCACTGATCAGTGTTTCACTTGCTGACGATAATTTGTTGGGAAATCTTGAAGAATTTATGTTATGCCTATATTCCATTGGATTAGTTATTATAGAATCCACTCAGAAGCCAAGCTGCTAAGAATTGAAGTTTGGATAAATTAGAGGAGAAAAACAATTTGAAATATCAATTTTTGAATTTTATAATTTGGAATGGTACCTTCATTCACTCGAGGAAAATGTACCAAAAACTTAATGTTACAACGAGTCATCTACCTTTTTTCATTAATTTCTTCTAGAATTTATACTGCCTGCTTTTGAAGTTTAATATAAATATTCATATGAGTGTGTTATTATACAGTTTGCAAGGCAGGCCTGCTGTAGAATAAAATAAGTAAAAGAAAAATCATCATATTGAACATTTTAAAAAAAAAAAAAAAGATAATGATGAAGATGATGTACTAAAAGCTGGAAAATTTGCAAGGTCCTAGGTAGCCAGTCATCACACCACGCTTCTACGCAATCTACGGTATTGGTCAGATAAAAAAAATTGAAATGGCCAACAATTTTATTATCATTTCATCTGATCAATCTGGAGATTACTGAAGAGGGTGGTGTGGTGACTGCTACTTAGGACCTTTCGAATTATTTTTTAGCTTTTAGTACATTATCCACATTATTATCATTTATTTTTTATGGAATCATTTTGCATTTTTCTACTCATTTCATTACCGAATTTTCAATTTTCATCCACTCTAATGCCACACAGTACTGGCACGTTTTAACCTCTTACCTCAACTTAGGTGGTGTACTTTCAAAGACGTATCAGTTTTAGCCACCCTAATTCTGTACTTTTCCTGAATGAACTAAATTGTAGTGAATATCAATTCAGTGTCATCACATAACTGAGTTTTTCAGTTTTGACGTTAGGAAAAGTAGTTTATGTTAAATTCCATCTGCTTTTCTCAAATACTTTGCTGCTTCTGCCAGTTCAAAGTTTGAATAATCTCAGAATTCTCAAACCAATCTTCATCAATAAAATAGCACATGAGATGATATACTGAAACTAATGATCAAAATATGAAATTATGATGAATGGCGGAAAAATTGATCCAGATAAATACGAATCGACGTCAAATACTGTTTGTGGAATCACAATAATGAAACTTTGTGGAGTACTTCTTTCGTCGTTTCACTTCACCAAGCACATACTGTCTGAAAATGTATACCTCGAAGTTAGTAAGCTGGATTTCACAATGTCATGACTGCAAATTACCTTCTATATATATATGTATCCATTAAACTATAATTACAAGTGTCAGAAGTTTGAAAGTTATGTGTTGAGGTGGCAATCCATCACTCGATATATTGTTCATATAACAATATGCCAAAATCAAAAGACCGTTCAATACCTTCAAATAGTAACTGCTCCTTTCAAAATGAAATCATCAACTCTGAAAATCCTTCCGTTAGTTACATTGACAACTATAAATATTGGAAAAATGTACGCATACGTGAAAATAATTATAGTTATTCCATTTTATATCCTTGAGAATATCTAATTGGAGTATTCCGGATGTCAAATAAAAAATGATTTTCATTTCTTTCACAACTTCACTCTGTGACATAGGTACTTAGATTTACTTTCCCCAGAGCGAGTTTTAATGTGAATTTTGAAAATATAATCAATTTCCTGAAAGTTAATCTATATTGTTACAGTTGAGATACTATCAGTCTATTTGTATTTGTGTTTATTATTTCACTTAAATTATTGAATTCCACACTTTTATTTTTTGCTGGAAATATCCTCACTTGTTTGCTTCGTAGTAAATGTTCAAGAGGTAGCAAAAACGTATGTGAATTTCCGGAACTTCAACTAGCGTTTCCTAATATGTTTAGTAACGAGTCCGTGCAAAGTTTATTGTTAGATCATCTGAAAATGAAACTTTCAACAGGTAATGATCGACTGTATTGCCAAACATGCGCCAAACCAACTGACTGTTATGAGGAAACAAGTATAGCTGAGGCACCAGTCAAATCAAATCAAATCAAATTTATTTATTCCATGTTAATATACAATTTGTTGTATGACATACATAATTAATAAATTTCAATTATCTTGAATGAGTAACTTTCACCTAGACATTGAAATGCCTGTATTGTGATCTGTTACTCTTGACAGATTGCTCGAATAGTTTCGCAAAATTATTGATGACAGAAATTGGTCGGTAATTGCATATTTCACTTTGACTTCCAGATTTAAAGACTGGAGTTATTCTACCAACTTTCCACTGAGACGGTACATTACCCTTTTTGTAACACAAGGTAATCAAATGAACTAGTGGTTTCAATAGGTATTGATGTATATGTTTTATCAGTTTGCTAGTTATTTCGTCAATCTAATAATAACACTTATGATCTTCAAACATGACTCAACCTCTGACGGAAGCAGCAAACTCTTACTGAGTTTCGAAATAGATGAACACTTCAATCTAGTAGACCACTATCATAATCTTCATGCAGTCATTGGTCACTGAGGTTCTGGCGTTGAATTTGGTCATCATTTTGCCTTGGTCAAAAACGAAACGGACTGGTTTAAGTTTGACGATAGTCGTGTCACCAGGTGTTCTAGCGATGTATTGAATTCATTTGAGCCTCTAGACACCCTACATTTTGTTTTATGAGAGAGAGGACAGTGATAATGATAACAAATAATACCACAACAAATGATACGAATTGGTTAAATGTACACTATGACAAAATTATTTTGAAAGACGTCAGAGGGCGCACTGCATAGTACATTATATATAGCTGTATTTATTTAATAATTATTAAATACATGATTTAGGAAATAAATGATTCCGTGTTAGGAATTACACGTTAAAAGGTAAGACCTCGTTAGTCCTTAGCTCGCACAAGTTTCTCACGAGTTGTCGTTCGTATGGGGGCGACAGCTGATTAACGGAAAAACAGAATTCAAACAGATTTTTTTTGAAACAGATAAACAGTCACGCAGATTTAAAAAAGAAAAAAACTGAGTTATAGTTGGGGAATTCTTCAAAATTGTAACAATTTTGTTGTAATATGAATTGCTTTGTCATTTTTTCAAACACATATATTGGCAGATCACGATCTCTAGATGATGTGGTGCTGAAGGTTTTTCCGGGTTTTCCTGCAGCTGAAAAAACAAATGTGCCACTGGAATCAATGAAGTCGCTCCGGAGCGCAAATTAATTTTTGTTGTTGTTTTATGATTTCATGATTTGTATTTTAAAAGTGTTATTACACCAACTATTGATATAAATAACATAAACATTGTTCAAATAAAATGAATATTTATATCCCTGCTCCAAATGGTAGCTGATCAAATAACATGAAAAACAAAAATTAAAAAAAATATGTAATTCGGGCCTGTTCCCGAGGAATCCCAAAAATACTTGATTTTTGTATTCTTTGACGCTTTTATTTAATATTTGTCGATTTTCGTGAAAGATAAAAAAAAATTTCAGAGAATCATCAATTGAAGTGAAATTTTTTAATAAATGATTGTTTGTTCCATAAAATATAATGAAATTGCTCCATTTTGATTTAATGATATAAAAGTGATGGTAGGTAAATATTCCTAGTTCAAAAAACTTAGTTCTTTCACTCATAATATCCAAAGCTCAACACTTCCACTTCCACCATTCTGATGTAAAAAAAAATAATTTATGTAACTGCTCAAACAATCTCGAAAAGTCCAGATTTGTAAGAGGTTGTTGAAAATCTTTGAATAATTCATCTAACTCCAACTTTGTACATGATGATATCATACTGACCTCTGTACTTTGAAGAACAGTACACTGTAATCGGAGTCCTGATCCTGGCTTCAAGTACTTCTCAGAAGGACCTTGAATTTCAGCTCGCGCCTCTGCAAAAAAAATTACACACATTTTGATATACGATTCTGAAGTTACATCTAGACATATTTCTTAGAAACAATGATTTCATTTTTATGATTTCATTTTTAATATCTGTTGACTATATGTTCGAAGTTACAGTAACAATTGCCCAATTTTTATAATACTCTATACCGGGTATTTGGAATTCGACTCAAATCATTGAGATTAGCTTTTTCGAAATATTTATACTTGAAGTTGTTCTTACATTGATATTTATACACTACAGGTAACCATAATTGAGACTACCTCCAAAAAATTACCTGAACCTCTATCTAACGTACCTGTTCAATTATGATCATCTGAAGCATATTACCTCACATATACATCAATAATAATTCTTTCTAGGTTTAAAAAAAAACAAGTGATCTATTCAAATCTACTTGGGCATTCATCAGAATGTTCGAATTTTCAAGTTTATTAATTTCCATTGATTCCAAATGATTCAATTTCAAACCTTTATTTTCTATGTGCAAAATTTCGAACATTTCGTTAAAGATATGATTTTCTTCTAGAAGATGATTTGAATATGTTGAATTTGTTTTCTCATTTTCATAGCTCGATGTTGCTGGATTCGATTTCTAAATGTCCTGCCAGTTTGACCAATATATACCTTAGGGCACGTTCCACACTTTAATTTATATACCCCTGATTTCTCGAATTAGGATGGCATACTTTTGGATGGTAATACTTGTTCTATATGCAATTTTAGTATCTCGTTTCCTCAAAAATGAAGCCACTTCTTCCGTTGGATGTCCAAAATACGTTAAAGCTTTATAATTTTGATTATTCACCTTATCAATTGTAAAAACGTCTCGAATCGCTTTTGCGTAGACTTTCTTGGTAAGTATTCTGTTTAATAATTCGGCTTTAAACCCATTGTTAACCGCAATTTGCTTGACAATTTCTTCAAACACGACATTATTCAGTTCAGATCATTCGTTTCTTTGTGATGAAGGTTAGGTCAATAACAGTAGGCCTGGAAAGTTCGCAGACTAACATAGAAAAATTAGGGTTCAATGAAATTGGATTCCATTATTTAACATAGTTGCTATTGAAGGCAATACAATGATTATACTGGTCATATAAATTCTTGATATCATTTTTGTAGTACGATTTGTGATAGTTTGTACTGGAACCTCTAGCGTAACTTCATCAGCACTGAATTTCATTTCGGTGAGGATTGTCTTGAGTTCTGAGAACAAAAAAAAGTCACTGGAGGGCCAGATCTGGAGAATATGGTGGATGCGGAAACGATTCGAAGCCCAAGTCCATGCAATTTTGTCATCGTCTTCATTTATTTGTGACAGGATGCGTTGTCTTGATGAAACATCTTTCTTTATTTCAAATAGGTCAATTTTTTCGCGATTTTGTCCTTCAAACGCTCCAATAACGCTGTATCATAGTCGCTGTTGATGATTTTTTCTTTTTCAAGATGAGAAACCTTACATTTATTCGTCCTTCGAAGCTTGATTCCAAACATGGTAACATCTGTTGGAATCAACAGATGTTACCATCTGACCTGAAATATCACTCACCATGCAAACTAATTAGCTTCGTTGAAAAGCTGGGTTTATTTGGTCGAGTGCGAATAGCTGTGAGCCACAATAAACCCTTGCGGGTTGCAGTGGAGGATCGAATAGACCCACTCACTATGGATCTAACCTAACCTACTATAGTCTTATCGCTTCGTAGTCGATTCACCACGTGCAGTTCACTCAGATGACGATGTATTTGATTCTGGTGTAAAATGATGCTGTCATGTTTCATGCATTGTCACATACCTACTCATGAATTCGGATTTTTTCTGATGGGACAGCTCCAAAGACTGCTCAGAATCATCAATTCGTTGACGTTTCTTGTTGATTGTGAGCTTTCACGGAACCCACTTGGAACAGAGCTTTTGCATAACCAAATATTCATGCACTATATGTCCAACACGTATATATCTTTAACACCTCAGCTATCTGAGGCGCTGACTAATCCACTGCCTGTATCGTCCTCTCATCCTTTAAACTAAGTAAACCACTTCTCAACGGTTAATTTTTCTGGTGTAAAATCCAAAAAAATCTCTCTAACAAACCATTCTTCATCAACACACGGAATTCCTCTCTATCCATTTTCTTCAAAATAACAAAAGTTGCTTCACTCAAAATAATCTATCCCACAAACTGTACATGCACGTGTACAAATTTCACAGCTGTGAAATTTGTACACCTGCATTTTGAAGGTTAGGTATGACTGAAAATCATGTGCAAATACTAGTAGCGCCATCTATTCGTTAACCTACGGACTTTTCAGCCCACCTTATAAGCGTAAGTATTACAGTTCACTACTGAAAAGTCAGACGGGCTTTCGAGTAATGAGCCATTACTCAATGGTGACAATGGAACACTGTGAGGTTTTTTCAAAGTAGCAAGTGGAGTTTTTCTCAGTCAGGTAGGCAGATGAACCTTTTGTTTACTGTCATAGAAATGAACCAAATTTTCATATTCGCTGACAAAAATATATCACTGTATCGTAAGTTAATGGTTTTATGCAGAAAAATGTTTATCGATTTCCGACCAATCATTTCGTGTCCTGTATGAATCTATTTTTCCTATGAATGTTTGAAGATAATGACTCTTTTTGTGGCCGTATACGTAGGAAACGTACAAGTAGTTCCTAAATTTCAATCAGCATATTCATCAGTCCAAAAAACTAATTCAGCTAATTTCCATTTTCTTCTGCATGATCATGCACTCCAAGTTTCCAGCATGACTTTCACGATAACGAACTAATTTCCGCAAAATTAAAAATCACATTGAAATTCCGTCAGTTGGGTGAAGCGGAATTTCCTGAAGTTTAATGAAAAACCGAGTACCTAGAAGTTTTCACAAACGATATTCCTATCCTCGAAAATGGTTCGGTTTTGGCAATAAATTTCACTCTACAGTGAGGATGTGAAGTTTCCAATGAGACAACATGTCAAAGTCATACAAAATTCACGTGGTAATTTATTATTTTCAGTACTTTTCGAAAAGAATGACACTTCAAATCAAGAGGGCGTGCAATTTTCTTCAGTTCAATGTAGAACCATTTCATAGTTTGGTAGGTACGTGTTACCTCAGGGCTAGTACTAGAGTGCCACCAAGATTTAGCCAAAGCCTGGGTAGATAATGACACTATCCTGAGGTGGGTTAAACGGCAGGACAGGTCACTGTTTCAGTTAAAGCTCTGAAACTCTTCTGGCCAATGCAGAGGGCAACATTACATATATAAAAAGAATAGATGGATAAAATATTAAATTGTTCATCTTTTTTCAAACATATCCAAATATCTGATGAAATTGTGAAATCAACTCTTTAAGAAATATCTAACGTTTCTCATCAGCGGCAACATCGAACATCTTCGAGAATTTATGTTCAAACGTCACTATAAATCAATATTCCAATAAATAAAATTGTTTCATGATGAATAATCAATTGATCATTAACTTTGTTGAAAATGAATCTTTCAAAAAGTTATATTTCATGTTTATTTCGTGAATTATTTTGGCAGTGAAATTACGCATTAACGTATCAACAGGGATGCAGAAATGTCAAGTTATTTTGACAGTTGTACAAAATAGTATTTTGTACAACAAGTGAGAAAAACGACATATTTCTCATGAGCGCAAATCAAGAGAGTGAGAAATATGTCATTTTCTCACGCATTGTACACTGTACTTTTTCTATGGTTGCGTTGTTTTCAAGTATTGAAAATTGAAATACATATATAATAGTACTTTTATGTCATTAACTCATTTTTATATTTCATTTAAAATATTAATTAACAGTTATATTTGAACAATTTTATAAAGTCATTCCTGGTAGGTCGTTTTGTTTCAACATGTTTTCGGTAATTGAAATATTAGCTGCGGTCGAAGTTGATGGGGAAACATACTGAGCTTCCATAGCATTGTTGTGTTCAGATTCTAATGGCGCTGGAGGTGCCATTAAAAAATTTTCTTTGTGTCAGCTATGGAGTTATCGATATAAGATTCAGCAACATTACTGGATTTCCAACCCCCATGGCGTTTTGAATTTAAAAGATCTGCCCCTGCATTAATTAAAATAGTCGCAGATGACCTTCGGAAACAGTGGCCAGTTTATAATTCAGAGTTCGGTAATTGCCAAAATTCCGCTGTTTCTTTCGCCATGGTGCCAAATTAATTTATCCCCACAGGCTGTTTCATACATTTGCTATTTTTGTAATTAAAAAAAACGTATTTCATTTGTGCATGGTCAAAGCTTCACATATTTTTTGTAAATTTGATAGAATTCTCCTGCGACTGTGAAATTTCTAGGAACCTTGGTTTGAGTATCGGGTAATTTTATTAAAAGGGAAAAATTAAGATCTTCCGTGTCATCAATTTTTAATTTTCGAAGTTCATCACAATGGCATGCCCCTGTAAAGCCAATAGCTAAAGCAGCTTGAAATTAAAACCAAACATTCATTTTTCGATAACAATTTAAAAATTTTCAATTCATACCTTCATCAGCAAATACTTTTCATCAGGTGCATCTTTTAAAAATTGTTGAATTTCTTCAGAAGTTGATGTTTTTTACTGTTTTGAAGTATATTTTTCAGATTTGCGTTTTAAAAATGCAGGTAATTTTACGTATTTTGATATATCAGCACAGTTTTCATTAATCAATAATAATAATAATAATAATTGCTTTTATTGACAAAATGCAGTACAACATCTAGTAGATATAAAAAAACAGGCAGTTCTTAAATGATATCCTACATTTTTGTCAAAGGGTACTCATTAACATCGAGTACTGAGACCATAATGTTGATGATTTCAATCTTCTTGACCTCTCTTCAAAATGAACTAACAAGTTATTTTCGGAACAAGAATTTAATTTGGCTTTCCTTCTCCAGTCCATGAAGTTTCTGTAAGCGATTTCATATTTTTCTCTTGATGTGCTTGGTAGCAAATTATTGC